GAACTTGTGTTTATTTCTGCAGAAAATAGTCTGAAATGTTGTCAGTATGTCTTTTGATTGCAGGCACTTTTGCAGCATCTGGACCTAACGCAGTACCTTCAGCAGTCTCGCTGCCTCTGGTTCAGATTGAGTGCTCTTTTGAAGTAGGCCACGTTTCTGTCAGAGGGGATGTTTGCTGTCTCTTCGGCTCCCTTGTTAGCATTACCTAGATTTTCCTGATAGATGGCTCTGTTTGGCACAGGAATGTCTTTTTCCATATTTTTCAGATAACTTCCCTTGCTCACGAATTTTGTAATCCTCCTCGCTACCAATCAAAGCTGCCAATGTGAACAAATATGTTCAATTTTAATTTGATTCATTGCTTTTTGTAAGTTGTATATTGCAGTAAATATAGCTGACCCAAAATTCCACCTGTGCTCTCCTCAGGACACGCCTTTCCCACCTGGTTTAGAGAGGTTTGCGTATCGTTACTTGGGAAAGGGGTTTGGTAGGTGGCCTCTTTCGGTAACAAAGAGGCCACCAACAAATGCTTTATATAATCTCTACAGACTTATTAGAACTGGATGATTGATGTGGAGCCAGGACAGCTAGAGTCAAATAATGTGTTTTTATCTGGAGTAATCTATATTTGGTGGTATGGCTCTGAAAAAAGCTGTTGTTGGGTTGCAAATCAGGCTGCAGATCCACAGCATGTATTTCGTGCCCGTAAGAGGATCAGCTGAACCATCAGCTGATTGGAGCTTTTGTCAATATCAGCTGATCTTGTGGCAGAGCTCCACTTTATGGTCTGCCTGAACTACTGCTAATGGTTCATGCTCATTATAGGTATTGCTACATTTTAAACTGACAACATAGCAGTGTAATCACTGACTGTAACTCACCGCCATAGATATAAATATGTGGATGAATCACTAAAAAGTAGGTCAAAGGGAACAACTGTCTCATATTTAAGTCCAGTCGTTGCCTATTCGTGTGTTATATGATGGCTATGTGACTAAAAACTAAAAAAAAAACAGTTTTAATACTGAATATTCATATTAATACAAAATCTAAAGCAGGAGCAAAGAATTCAAACACTAGCAAACTTCAAGGAGACACAGAACAAGGAGATGCACGGCCATGAGGGACAATCTGACAAGGAACAAGGACAGACTCAAACAATAGATACAAGATAACAAAGGGAAAAGTAGCAGGTGGCAGCATAGCTGAGGACACTTGTACCAGCAGAATTCTGGGTACGATCCAGTGTTGATGTTTTCCAGATTTGTGTGTTTGTGTGTGCGTTTGCAGATCCAACTGGAAGTTTTGTTATAAGGAGGCAGAGGCCAATTCAACTCTCACATTAGAAATCTCAGTTTATTCACAGATCAGGCGTCCTGAAAGAGATAGGGGAGTGTGAGGTGTTGTTTCTACAAGGCTGTCAGTGCTCCCCCTCCTCGTCTGAGCTCACACCTCACAGTTCTGATAATTGGTCTTCATTGTAAGATCCGCAGGGAAACCACGCTCACATCTGGTGTGTCATCCTAATCAGAGCTAATGGCACTGTGTGCTTTGAGCCTACGACAAGTCAATTATTCTTGAATAATGGATTTGATTTTATCATTTGTTCATGTTTGTTGTAACCTTCTCTCCGGCTAGTTGATAAACTACGCTGTAGTCAGCTGTGTTGCTGATTTTAGTTTTCATCTTTGCAGGAAAGCAGACCTGCTTCCTCGACAGCAAACTGCCGCCTCTCCCCTGGCCTCCCCTCAGCCAATCAGCATGCTCAACATGCCGCTGCTAAGCGACGGCTGTCCTATGACTACAACAGGAACATCATGGAGTAACTCTGTGGACCTCAGCTCTGGTTTGGCTGTCAGCATTCACAATGAAGGACTCCAGGTTTTAACATGTTTCCCGAGGCGCCGGATTCACAGCATGTTAAACTGCAAGTCAAGCACTCATCGACCTGCTGACTCTTTGCACACTTCCTGGTTATTTAAGCCTGAGACAGTGAGGAGAGCTGGTGTCTCATCCACCACCTGCTGATGTATACTGGGGGAGTGTTTTTTTTATATCACGTGTTCATCACCTTGTTCACTATCACCACTACCAACCGTTAAGTCTCCACCTTATCTACTGAGATTCTTTGGAGCATTGTGACCTGTTACAGGGTACACGCCGCCACCTTAAAGGCACTCTAATTTATTCCTCCATAAACAGAAATAGATCTGAAGTACCACTGCTTTTTGTCTCAAGGGAAGAATAAATATAAAGGAGATAAAACTCACATGGGTTGAACTTAAATAATAAAAATAAATATTTAAGGCAGAAGAAGTCACTTTGATGAGTGACGAAACGTTTCTCCCACTGAAATCGCTACGTCCAGATGAACAGAATCAACCTTTTGGGGTATATAAGACATCATTTTACACACATTGGCGGCCCTGTTAGTCATGATTTTGGAAAGCTGACATGCCGGTTGTTTAGCTTTCATTTGCAGTCTCTCTTTTTTGTCGTGCAGATATGGACGAGTGTAATTGGGGCAAAAAGTTATTGCCTCCAGTGTTGCTGATCTAACAGACAAATAAAATAATGTTGCACTACACTACAGTTTAAATTTGAAATAGATTTTTTTTTATGAAAAACTGGCATTCTTCATATACTATATGCTGTATACTGTAAGCATATTCATAGAATATGTCAGGCTGAAAGGGGAAGAACATCTGAGGTTATTGGTTAAGTTTCAAGCCATTTATAACTCATGAAGACACAGCTTTACTTCATGCAAGGGGCCTTTAAGGCTTCTCCTTATTTCCTGTCATGTATATACTCTTACATTGATGGATGCTCATGTTAAACATGGGTTCAAATATTGAGCCTAAAGATCTGACATCAGACTCCTCCAAACACAGTTTTATTTTCTACTTTTTTCCTGCATATCATTTCAGTCACACAGGTGTGGCTGTGAGCACTAAAGCCCCACCTACCTGTGTTCAAACCAATCAGGAGAGGCTCTAATACAGCTTTCAGACGGAGTATGAGCTGGGCGGCTGCATCAATGACCAGTGTGAATTTTGAATGAGCAGAACAGGTACAAGACTAACTGTGTCAGCATGACATTTTAAATTACCCAAGCATCTGTGCTTTTCAGCTATTTCAAATTGGACTAATAAGTGATTGTGATGGAGCCATACATGTCTGTATTATCGAGTGCCAAGTCAGGTAAATGGGAACTATCCAGAAAACTAGATTTGTAGTTATATTTCCAGCCACGTTTTATGAAAGTAGCATGAAGTTCCAGTCTACTTCCCGGAAAAGATCTCTGGGTTTAATTAGAGAAGAAGACTCAATGACACGATGCTTGTTTTTGTTCTGTAGCTCCATTAATGTGGTGGCCTGACCCTTTGTAACAGCTTCACTCCTCCTCAGTTTTCCTGTCTGTAGCAGAAACCTCTACAGATGTCACCATCACCTGGATTCATGCACACGCTCAGTAGAAGTAACAGAAAAACCTTTTGTCTAGTCGTGTCATCACACAGAAGATCAAAGTTGAGCATTATTATTTTTTTCAAAAGCCTAGAGCAGATATAATAATGAGTACTAAAGAAAGATCAAGATTTTTTTGTTTTAATTTTGTTTACATTTGACATATTGATGCATGTGCTTTCATTGTGTATTTGCTACTGAAAAGCCAGTGACAGGAACAGGTCTCAACTTTGTTCTGGTTCCTCAGAGAAACAAGTTTGTCTTCCAGTTAGTGCCAACAGAGAAAGTGCCAATGTTTACGAGGTTGAGGAAGTGATTTCAGGAGGAAATGTTTGTCTTGTTTCTCAAACACACTGAAGTGGACTCAAACAAAAGCATGTGATGTTCCACCTTTTTCTTTCTTTCTTTGTCTTTCTGTCTCGCTTCTTGTCTGCCGAATGTTTCAGTGCATTCGTTTTAGTTCAGCGCTGTTCTGTAGTCGAGTCCACTTCATGGGCAAAACTTGAATTTAGCTGCCAGTCAAAATGATATTTTATGAGAATATTGTTCACATTATGCCGATCATGCGCCGCGTTTCTAATTTGTGTCACCTCAGAAAACTTTAAGTCGCTCTGTTGTGTATTTCAATTGTTAACTCTGTCATCTGTGATGAAATTCAGAATCAGTCGTGTGTGTGTGTGTGTGCGTGTGTGTGTGTGAGTGCCCGCCATTTATACAACATTCAAATTCTTGAAAAAATTGGATATTTTCTGTCACAATGAGGAGAATCCAGCTGTCGCCTTGTTGACTGATGTAATAAAATGATACTGCGTGTTGGCTAATGCTTCCTCCTGACATGCAGAATTATGTGACCTGTTGATTTCATGAAGAGGGAACCACTGGCTGATTAGTAACCAGTGTTGGGAAGGTTACTTTTAAAATGTATTCCATTACAGAATACA